TCATTGATAGTAGATTGTTTCACCTGTAAAGCTGAAAATTGATATTTTTAAATGAATTAATATTTGAATTAATTATTCTTGATTTTTACCCAATAATTGCTGAACAGTATCAAATTACCTACATTGTTCTATTTTGTATCACTGAACATTTTTTATACAAAATGAGTGAATTGAAAAACACATGAACTTTAATAAAAACTTGCCATTAATAATTAATGTAAATGTAGAGCGTGAAATATTGCAAACTATACTGCTCTACAAAAGAATGTGTACTTTTCCGCCTTCTGTAAATTTTTTTGATATATCAGTGTTGTTGTTTTGTTTTAAAAGTTGTATCACAATTAAAGTTTGTTTTATCATATATCCATTAATATTCCATGTGTATCTTGCTATGCAGTTTATAATGGAGAAGTCAAATAAATTAAGATGCCATAAAATCTCATGCATGTAGAGCTGTCATTGATTCAAGGCAAGGCATATCAATGATATATCGATATCTGGTGACAAATACCAACAATACTGATATCTCCATAATTAACTAAAATTACTTGTCTGTCATTCATTTTTTACCTGTTTAAATGATTTCATTTGAAATTAGTGTCTTGTTTATAAAGCCCATTGATTTTTATTCTAACCATATTTTGTCATCATTGCTGTGAAATATTTCCACTATGTAACAACAGATAATGTGAGACATGGACACTTGCTTCTGTATATGTTTTGGGTGAATTTTCCTAATTTTTTGACATTTAATTTATAAAGTCAAAATTAATTTTTGATTTTTGAAATGTGTATAGATTATTGATCGACAGAAAAATATCAACGATACAAGTGATATTGTCTCTATCAATGACAGCTCTACATACATGTTCCTTACAGTATCGGTTCTCTGTGACAAGTTGTGATGAAAAATCTAAGCTAAATTTAAATATGAATATTAACTTTTTCGGTAGTATTTCTGTTCAGTGTAGTAACTAGCACTAGTCTTGTTCTATTTGTACAATTAAATGTTTACTTAAATACTTATTTTTAGTGAAGATTTTTAAATCCTTAAATATTTAAACTACATGTTTGTCCAGCTTATCAAAGTAAAAAGAAGAATATATAGGTGTTATTTATTCTAAATGTTTTCATTGTATAGATTGTTGAAATACAAATTAATGAATTTTTTTTGAATTTTTTTTTACCCTTGAGGTTTCAGGGTCAGACATAATACACATGTATTAATGTATTAGATTTAAGGCATAGTTGTGGTACATATATTTAAATCACTTTTAAAGCCAATTTAATCAAAACTGTTGCTAATAGTATTTTATTTTAAGTATGGGTTAAAGTTTATTAGTACATATTTACAAAATTAAATTGGTCAGGCGCGGTACAACCGGCTTAGTGTTTTAATTTTTTGTTTATAACCAGTCGATTTACTAGACTGATTAACAGTTTGCTGATTTACCAAAGTAAATGTGTTGCAATTCATTTGAAATACTGCAATCCTATTGGACAAAAAATAATTTCAAACACTAAGTGAAATTACTACATTGTTTAAGATGATAAAAAGAAAATTGCTAGTCGTAAAAAAAGGGTTTGACTGCACATGAGGATTTAGATATAAATATACATCAAGAATTGTAAATTGTAGACAAGACAAATACATTAAAGGACATGCATGCAGCAAATCTTTTATTGTAAAAGAATTATAGGTGCTTTTCATGTAATGTGCATTACCTCCCCTGGTCACTCAACATTGTTATATTCTTTAAAGATTAGAAAAAATCTAACATTTCTAACTTTTTAGCTCACCTGTCACAAAGTGACAGGTTGAGCTTTTGTGATCGCTTTCGTCCGTCCGTCGTCCGTCCGTAAACTTTTACTTTAAATGACATCTCCTCATAAACCACTAAGCCAATTTCATCCAAACTTCACAGGAATGTTCCTTTGGTGGTCACCTTTAAAAATTGTTCAAAGAATTTAATTCCATGCGGAACTCTGGTTGCCATGGCAACCGAAGGAAAAAACTTTAAATATCTTCTTTTAAAAAACCCAAATGGCTAGAGCTTAGATATTTGGCATGAAACATCTTCTAGTGAGTGTCTTCCAAGTTTTTTCAAAGAAAATCCCTGGGGTCAAAATTGGTCCTGCCCCAGGGGGTCGTTGATTTTCCCTATATGCATTATTGCATATAGCAAAAACTTAAAAAAAATCTTCTTTTAAAGAACCCAATGAGCTAGAGCTAAGATATTTAGCATGAAACATCTTCTAATGAGTGTCTACCAAGTTTGTTCAAATAAAAGCCCTGGGGTCAAAATTGCCCCGGCCCAGGGGTCATTGATTTTCCTTATGTGTGTATAGCAAAAACTTAAAAAATCTTCTTTGAAAAAACCCAAATAGCTAGAGTTTAGATATTAAGCATGAAATATCTTCTAGTGAGTGTCTACAAAGTTTGTTCAAATAAAAGCCCTGGGGTCAAAACTGGCCCCGCCCCAGGTGTGTCATTGTTTTTAACTATATGTGTATAATAAAAACTTAAAAAATCTTCTTTTAAAAAACCCAATGAGCTAGAGGTTAGATGTTAAGCATGAAACATCTTCTAATGGGTGTCTACCAAGTTTGTTCAAATAAAAGTCCTTGGGTTAAAATTGGCCCTGCATGGGGGTGGGGACAGAGGTCATTGTCATTATATGTGTGTAGTAAAAACTTAACATCATGAAACATCTTCTAATTGGTGTCCTCCAAGTTTGTTCAAATAAAAGCCCAGGGGTTTAAACTGGCCCCGCTCCGGGGGGCCTATTTACAGGTGAGCGACCTTAGGGCCATCATGGCCCTCTTGTTTATTTAAACTAATATAATTTTTTTAGATATTGGTGTCAAGTTATATTTTTCTTCATATAATTTTATATTTTTTAAAAAATCACCTAAACTGTTATTTTATCTCTTTTTTTAAATAATATGTAATGAATAATGTCCCCCAAATGACTGCCACTATTGTCAAGCAAGTTTTATATTATAAGAAAAATTCAGAACATAAGTGTTGTATAACAGAAATAAAGTAAAGATTTGCATAGTCACAGGGAAAAAAATCAATATTTTAAGGTTTGTTAAATTTTCAGAATTTTCTTATGGTACCATTATCAAGCTAAATTCTACCAATTTTTACAGGCATAGGTCGTTGCAAAAAATAAATATGTACATATATATAATTATGTGTATGTAATACATGTAATGAGGGAGTGTGCCTAAGTAGTTCACTAATAGGAAACAGACAGGTAGCCTTGTCAACAGAGCATTGACCTTAGGTTCCAGTTCCAGCTAGACAGCACATTTTTTCACCTTGTGACAATTATGTTTTTTTTATAAATGTAAAAATTTATAAATGTGAAGATTTTTTTGTGTAGCCACAGTGTGTATAGTCAGGGTTTTTTTCCAGTATTTTGGGAACATGACCCATACCCTTGAGATTGGGAATTTTAGCGGCATTTTGCCCAAAATTGGGAAAAAAAACACAACATTTTCAAGTTTCCTGAGGCAATATATTCCTTTTCTAATATTATAGGATTTAGTTCACAAAAGTAGGTCTCTGATTTTCAAATTTTTGAACTGTGTTATTGTATGGTGTTTTGACTTTACACCTCCTGGATGTTTCACCCTCAAAACCCTGGTGTTTTCATCAACACTTTTTTTCAATTTGATAAATATATGAAATAAATACCATTATGGGTTAATATTATATATAATATAACACATACTTGCAAACAATTACATTCATGAAGAAGATTTTTTTGACATAAATATAGTGAAATTTCCCTGGGAAAATAATTATAATCATATTTATATCAGCTATAAGTCTTCATGTATATATTATTTCATTTTTTTTTTTGTTATCCAAAAATTAAATACCATAAAAATATTGATTAAATAAAATATGTTTTTATATAACAGATAAGAACAATTAGAAGTGTGAAACAATTTTGAATAAAGCATTATAAACACAGGTTTATTAATTACTAAATTAGCACCTTTAGAAGTGTGTAACTAATAGTTCTTATTAGTTTTTATAAAATAGGAAATAAAATTATATGATGAAAATAACAGTGTTTATTTTAATTTTATGTTATTGTATTGTGCATACATTGTAGATATAGTAATTGACTCTGAATAAAATTTAGTAAATCTTATCATTTTGTTTTTATCTCGTTTTTCATACATTGATACATATTTGGTAAATTTTATTTTTACATTTTATTTTGAACAAGAATGTCATTTTTAAATAAAATTTCTTAATTATAAATTTAAAAAAAAAAATATTCTCTCAAATTGATTATGTCTATCATGCAAATTTATATGATAATGAGTTATCTGTCATCTGTAGCTGAAAAAAACTCGCACAATTTGCAACAATACCAAACTTTTGCACCACTATAAAACAACAATGCATACTTCAACTCGTATTTGTTGGAACTTAATAACATTTGATCATTGACAGGGACAACTGTATCTGATTTAAACTCGTCGCTAGAACTTTTAAAACCCCGAGAAGGAACATCATTGTGGTAACTCACGGTCACCGTTGAAGGATTTCCCATTAGTACTTGCAGTTTCATTCGCCGTTACCGTTTCAGAAGTACAACTCTTTTCCGAGAGAGTCGCTTGCGTAAACATTAAATCATTTTTTCTGTTTTTATCAGTGCTTTTTTAACGTGTGAAACATTTTGATTTACTTTCACTTTCGAAGGTCGTCGGTATCGTAAGACGCTCGATAAATTTATACTAAGTAATCAAGCGTCTACTTAACACGTGGGTTGTTTAGACGCCGGCTATTTGCTTAATTTTACGTTCCCCCAAAGATCGATTTTTAAAAAAAAAAATTTAAGTTTTCGATTGGGAATTTTTGTATCAAAATTGGGAAAAAAACATACTATTTTCAATTGGGAATATGACCGAATAACGGCTATAAAATCGGCCAAAAAAAAACCCTGATAGTATTTTTACAATTTACATTTCAGTGTCTACAAGCCTTGTGTGGGCAACACCATGGTCATGTCAGATCAATCATTAACTCTGTAAGTTGTCAGCTTATGTTTTATTTATTAACTTTGTCCAATGAAATAAGCATGAACAGTAACGCCTCTGTAGTCGAGGGGTTAGAGTCAATGACTTCTAATCCAGTTACCTCTCTGGCGTGGGTTCGATCCCCGGGAGATGCTTTTGTAGTTTAGCGTGGAGAAAGGTAGTCTAGTACCGGTGTAACTCTCCAGGAATGATGGTTATGAAACTACCCACCTATATGACTGAAATACTGTTGGGAAAAGGCATAAAATGAAACAAACAAACAAAAGTAATTTCAGTTTCATCTTTAAAATCTTGTTATTTATTTTTTTTAATTTGTATGCTTCTTAAAAATTCACATTTATAATACTCATGCTATACTTCATCAAATATTACAATTATCACATTAAACTAAATTATTTAAGGTTTTTTGTGTGTGTGTGTGTGTGGGGGGGGGTGTTTTGAAACAACTTTTTTTGTGCAAATTGTCTCAAAATTAAGCGTTTAAATTCTCAAATCAGGCTTGAAATAGTTCAATAAATGTCAATTTTAGATTAAATTCTGATTTATCTTTCATATTGTCTTTCATATATTTTTTCTGTTTTAAGTGCTTGTGTTGATAAAGTAAGAATTTCTTATTTTATGTCACTATGTTATATTTGTATGATGTTTTCAGGTTTTTAAGCACCTGATGCCAAATTTAATAATGTTGGTAGATATGAAACCTGTTCAAACAGTGACAAAACAAATCACAGTGACACAGGACCATGCAGCCACCTTTGTCTGGTAAAATTTTCTCTGTTTGTAAAGCTAATTCTATTTGATACAGTATAATACAATTTCCGATAAATCTATCAACTTGCAATGAGTGAGTTATTCAGGATTAAGATTATCTTTGATTTCTTACCCTTGAATTCTTTATGTGATAAACTTATTTAGTCTTATGATAGAACAATGGATATATGATAGACTAAATTTAGTTTGAATTTAGAACTATGGTTTGTTGATATTTGGAATTTGTATGTAAAACAGTATAAAATCTCATATAACCACAGTTCACAGGCTGTATTTACTTAAAGTGTACATGTAATTTGCTTTTGTAGTTAATTGATTGTTTTATATTTTTGTGACTTAGTGCTAAATGTATATGCACGTAGATATATATTCCTATCATTTTAAAGGTGAAAATACATGTTATACCCAAATAATTAAATTCATTTAAAAACTTCTTTCGTACACTAGTTGAAAGGAAATTTCATTCATTGAAGTTAATTTTTTTTAAATTTTAGTATTTTGATTAAGCAATGTGGAGATAAAGCTCTGGAGAATGTTCGAACACTGATACAACATATGTGTGTGGAGGTAACAGACCGTGCAGAGTATCGAACCCGGGTCACTCAAACTATTGTTCATATAACAAAGGAAATGCCCAATGAAAGTTACAGTAAACTTGTGAGATGGTTTCACAAACTCTCTAGGAATACCCAGGTATTTTTGATTCTGCATTCTTCTTTTAAAAATCTAGTCTGCTGTTGATATAGAAAAGAAAACGTTAAAATGTAGCTGTATCTTAATTAATCAAGCTAGCTATAAAAGATTTGCTGACATACTCTTGTGACATTTTGTACTTGAAATAATGAACAATTGATATCTGAGGTCTTCCACCACCTGTTTTTCTATAACTTTTGCAATGTCAGTGTGACTTAAAACCCATTTGAGCAAATAAATGAGTCCAATAGAAAAGCGAATCTAATGACAAAAAATTCTTATTACAAAATCAAAATGCATAAAATTGCCTTTCAAATTAAAAGATTGAACCAGAAAGGAGAAAAGAATTCTGAATTTTAATCAATTTGCTGACAATAAGATTCCAACTCCTATGAGACTGTTTCTAACTTAAATTGTGTAATTTTAGCCGAGTAATCGTTGTTTTGCGGTTGAGATCTCCTCAGCATTGTTGGCTTTACCAGAGAGGACAATGACTGATGACGTCTCTGTTGATCTGTTACCGTACACATCACATTCGGCACTACTTGGTTTGATACTAGATAAATGTACTGATGTTGCTGCTAGGTATGTTCTTCTATTATATTGTTTTGTATGTATATAAAGATTTAAGTAGGAAAGGTCCAGCTGAAGTATATCGTTGATATAACAGAGGGAGGGTCTACAGAAGGACATGGATAAAGATGAAAAAGACGGTCATTTACCCCAAGTAAAGTTGCAGGACTTGTTTGAAGTTTGCTTGACATATCAAGACTCCTGATATTTTTGGCACCCTGATAGCATTTTGATTCTTGAAATAGAAATTATTTCTGACCATACTGAGCGATTTTTTCCCTGATATAAGTTGTACTGAATTACAGAATAACGGACCCATTCACAATCACGAATGAACCGTCACAATTTTCAGAATGGGTCCAATGATGTATATAAAAGGTGGACATCTGGTAATATTTAACACCTAAAAGAAAGGTAAAATTCCTTGTGATATAGGGTCTTTTGGATAATCCAAAATAGTATTTTTGATGTTAGAAAGAAAAGGTACAGAATAGATAACAACCAATCTGAGTATAGCATGATTAAAGCAACTGTGTGAATAAATGTTAATTTTTACGAAAAATTTCACAATTTTGCGATTTTTTTCGCAATTTCCATGGTATCGAACCCAACCAAAATTCAGGGAATAAATTGTAAGCTTTAATTTGAGTGAGATAAGTATGATGGACTGCTGTTTCTACAAGTTATAATCAGTTTTATCTGTGAGGAATTCATAAATTTACACATATTTTATTTGTTTTAGTGTTCGAGCAAGAGGTATCTCATGTCTGACGCCATGTTTTGGTTCTAGAGATGAAGGTATTGCTGGAATATTGAGAGAAATTGTCACACCTCAGGTTACAGCTACTGGTCGACCAAATCAACCTAGACTTATTAAAACACCTGGGGCAACTAGAGGTAAACTTGTTTCCAATTTTCTTTTTCAATTTTTGAGCGATTTCTTGTTTGAACTGTGCACATGAGCCATCTCTGGTATTCTGAATACAAATTTATTCATCAACAAAACTTTTTTTTTTAAATTTAAGTATATTTATTTTTTATTTTTTTGCCTACACCATTTCATTTTGGGATGGTTATTATTAATATGTTTTATTGCAACTTCCAGGGCAAGACACAGTTACTATAGCAGATGAAACCTCACAGAGGTCAGAGGTCACAATAGCTCAACAGACCATAGAGGGTGCCAGCACTGTTGACAGAAGTGCAGAGGGCGGGACTAGACCTAAGGACACGCCTATGCATCATGTGAATCTCACACCTGGAGTCAACCTCAGTATGTGATATAATTATGATGTATTTTAGTTAATGTGTCATTTCAACATTCAGTCAAGGGATAAAGAAGAAGAACTGCATAAATTGAGTTTATTTTATTAGTATGTATGTCAAATTTGAATTTTTACTATCTGCTGCTATTTATAAAACATAATCACATACCATATATATCTTTATGTAGGCCCCCAATGGCTATGTAAAATGTCATCAGGGTGCTTTTATACCACAGCAAATTTTTAAAACTATCACGGTAATCCTTTGGTGTCATGTAAATTATTGATATTGGGAGCCCTTTAAAGGAGACCAACTTGTGTATTTTCATGACAACAATGGCCACCTGCCTGTAAGTTTTCCTTGTTATTATACAGCGTCTGAAATATAGATGCAATAAAATCTATAAATGTTTGCTATTTCAATATACAAGTATTTATATTAATATTTAATACATATATTTCACATATATTTCAGATCTGACAAACAGTAAAGGTGTTTTCTCTATGTTACGTAGTAGATTGAATGATAGTAAACAGAATGTTAGAAAGGCGGCAGTACAGGCTCTAGAGGCTGCAGTGAGATTTGAAATGCCAAACTTCACGAAAGAGGTTGATAATGGTTTCTTGTTCTGTTGAACGTCTCAATTTTAGTTTCAACTTTTCTAATTTATCCGATTTGATTTGTAAAATGGACCTGTCCAGTTTTGAATTAGGAAACAGTTCATTGATGATGTGTGGTGTTTCATTATCAAAGTTCTGATAGGAGGTAGACAACAATAAGAAGTCGGATAAGACTGCAAGGAAATGCACCTTACAAGCTTTACTGGTGGAGGATGATCTCAGGTGTCCCTTTATGTATTGTTTGAGGCTCATGGGCACCTGTGTAGAACAGAAAACCTTCCATAAGCTAACTTGATAGCTTCATTTTATGAAAGTATCCATAATCCTATGTTCCTTTAGTGATTCAACCCCATGGAAGGGAGGGCAACATTAAGTTTGGCCACAGCGTCAAATTGTAAGCTTAGAGGCACAGTGTTATTTCAAATATATTATTTCTGATGGTTAATTTATTTTTCAGAATTTAGATTCACTAACAAAACACTACAGGGATCCCGTACTGTCTGTAAGGAAGCAAGTGTTTCAATCATTGAAAGATTTACTGATGGACAATCCTAAAGATACTTTTCTACAGAGGTAATTTTTTTTATTTCCATCAGACATTGATAAAATAGTGTTTTCATTTTTTCTTCAATAATTTGAAGAATAGGAAGAACTATTGTACTCACCCAAGTGTCGGCGTCAGCATCATTCCTTGGTTTTTGCATGCAAGTTTGTATCTCCCAAATTACAGAAATGAATGGTTTTAAACTTCACCAACTTAATTGAAAGCATAATTTGAGTTCACCTTCCAAGGCCCATAACTCTAACATGGATTTTACAGAATTATGGCTCTTTTTAAACTTAGAAATTCTACATTATCCAGGCTGTTGTTTTACTATCAAGCACTGAGACAGTTGTTTATATTAGTAAGTTGATCAAATATTGTTTTTCATTTTTGAACTTGTGAGAAAGTTGATCAAGTATTACACAAGTGTAATACATAAATTGATATATATACTAATTGATTAACGATTGAAGTAAAATGAATGAGTGAATGAATATTTCAGTAATTGGTTACTGGCAGCACTTCCACTGGTAATGGACCGAGAAACAACTGTGTCAGAGAAATGTATGGATACTTTAGAAGAAGTATTAATCAGAAACATAGTAGCGTACCAAAGGTATATATTAATATGAATAAAAATTACATTTATGTCAACTTGGATGCCCAATTACTGGGATTACCCATGTTGGACATCATCACGACCATGTCTGTATGGATGGAATATTCTCAACAGACAAATGGTCTTAGCTTCACTCATTTGGTCTGTTAATAAGTGAAACAATACTCTTGAATCAGTTAACATTCACAAGTAAACTCAACAAATCACCATTTAGTTATAATTGTTACTTTACTTTGACAGGAAACCAATTAAAATGTATTTTGTTACTTTAACTTTATCAGATTGTTTATTTCTGTAATGAAAGAAATACAACAAAATTATAATACAGTAGAACTTCTATGAGTCGAACTTCGATTAGTCGATTTTCTCGATGTGTCGAAGTAAAATGAAAGTCCCGATTTTTTCCCTTATATATTCCTTATAAAAAACTATTTATGAGTCGAGATTTTATGTGTCGAGTTTTTCGATGTGTCGAAGTTTTTTCGTGGTCCGTATAGAATAAATCTAGTACAATTCACCACAAATAAGTCGAAGTTCTTCGGTTATTTTGACACTTTCGATCTCGAGACATTTTCACACCTTTTCTGGTCGCGAAGACAATTTCCGATCAACTTTAGTGACAGGTGTTACTTACACAGCCGAATGTTCAAACATCCTTTGTATGCGTTTAAATGTGTGAAAAAATGCTTTAATCATTACAATATATTATTGCCATAGCGGTATTTGAAAGTAGATCTACATGTAAACAGTAAGAACTATCATTTGAGTACTTCCGTGACCCGGTGTCGCGTGATAATCACACGCGAAATATTTACTATAGGCTGGTTAACCCTTTACCACATATATACGCGAAACAACGCACTTTCGACCCCCCCCCCTTTTTTTAGGCCTCAAATAGTGAAAAAATGTCCTATTTGGGCCCCAAACATAAGTTTTCGTTTGAGAAATGTTGCTTAAAAAATTGAGCACTTTTTCGGCGCCGCCCCCCATCCAAAAGATACATCAGGGGGTTGCCAGAAGGGGGATGTGCCCCCTTCTGTTAGGGGGGTTTGAAGGGGGTCGGAGTCCCCCTCATCGCCAAGAAAATTTTGGACTTGTGAGAGGCTAAAAATGACCCCAGGTCGATCATAATGTAACGTTTAACCAACGCTGAAAAGCCGTTGACTCTATCTCAATCCCTTTTGAGTAGTTGCTGCACTTTGAAATTAATTTTGATGGAAAAAAATCGAGGCAAAATAGTGATTTTTTGGCAATTTTTGAGATGTCCCCTCGTTGCCATGGTAACAGGAAATTTAAAGACTGAGCATGTCGTTACAAAGGCAATGGTCCAGTCAACATTTGTGCCAAGTTTGATTAGTATTGGAGCATTTTTCATAGTTTCATAGCAGTTTGAACTTGTAACAGGAGGCTTTTCAGTGAAAACGGCCATTTTTCACAATAAGCTCATGGGGGAAAGGGTTAACTAAAAAAATTATAAATGTTACAAAACACCAATTTTTCACCAAAATTAGGTGAAATACGACATGTTAACATGGAAAAACTAGTTTTTTTAGGTGATTCCAAAGTTTTTCATCATTTTTTGTTAACCCTTTACCACATATATACGCGAAACAACGCACTTTTGACCCCCCCCCTTTTTTGGCCTCAAATAGTGAAAAAATGTCCTATTTGGGCCCCAAACATAAGTTTTCGTTTGAGAAATGTTGCTTAAAAAATTGAGCACTTTTTCGGCGCCGCCCCCATCCAAAAGATACATCAGGGGGTTGCCAGAAGGGGATGTGCCCCCTTCTGTTAGGGGGGTTTGAAAAGGGGGTCGGAGTCCCCCTCATCGCCAAGAAAATTTTGGACTTGTGAGAGGCTAAAAATGACCCCAGGTCGATCATAATGTAACGTTTAACCAACGCTGAAAAGCCGTTGACTCTATCTCAATCCCTTGAGTAGTTGCTGCACTTTGAAATAAATTTTGATGGAAAAAATCGAGGCAAAATAGTGATTTTTGGCAATTTTGAGATGTCCCCTCGTTGCCATGGTAACAGGAAATTTAAGACTGAGCATGTCGTTACAAAGGCAATGGTCCAGTCAACATTTGTGCCAAGTTTGATTAGTATTGGAGCATTTTTCATAGTTTCATAGCAGTTTGAACTTGTAACAGGAGGCTTTTCAGTGAAAACGGCCATTTTTCACAATATGCTCATGGGGGAAAGGGTTAAGTTATTGCCCTTTCGTATTGTTACGCCTTTTGTAACTTCAATGTATACGTCAACAGGGAGTCCAAATCATTAGCCGTGAAAAGTTACTTAACATGTCATATTTATCATTGTATAATGTAAAATATCAGATTAATGAATGAAAGAAAAATATGAAGTAGGTTACGTTATAGATCTTATAATTAAGGCTAGTCACGGGTTGAAATTTTGTCATGAAATTCAGACCGATTCATGAGTCGAAGTCCCGATGTGTCGAAGTTTTTACGCAAGTCCCACCAACTTCGACTTACCGAAGTTCTACTGTACAGTCAAACGTGTATTAAGCGACCGCGAAAGGGAAACACCCAAAACAGTCGCTAAAAGAAACGGTCTCTTAAGACAAAACATGATATAAAAGTCAAAATTTATAAATGACATCTTTCTTTTGCGGTGGGAATGTTTTTCAACTTCATTTACATAAATGTGGAATAATTAGTACGCTCCGATTATCTAAATGGATGCTTATATAAAATATAACTTTCTGATATTTATTGACAAAACAGTTTTGATCCATTACATACATGTTTGACATTTTTCCAGAATTTTTTAATTTCTCTGTTGTTTTTCCTCGTCTCCAACACGAAAACCCTATTAGTGAAGGTGTTTTCTGTTGTGCATTGTTTCATTTGAAATAAACAAACTCCATCTTATTGTTACGATTCATTTAATTGCTGATCAAAATCAAGGTCAATTTAATGCATTATAAATGTCAACAAGCGAAGCGTATACAACATCTCAGTAGGGGCGGAGCGTTGCATTGTTTTTTCGATATTATTGGATAATACACGTCACGCGTATACTCAACTTCATTTGCATACACTAAAACGGTTTGGGAAATAGAGTTTTTCACACATTTATTTTTTGTGTTTTGATAGTTGACACTTGTGACATTACGAGGCGGTGTTCTCTAAAAACGCAATTACTTGACAGGTTAAAGTTTTCGTTTAATGAAAATATTTATCTCAAATAGCTGACCTATTAGCAGTCGCTGGTCGCGTTGAGCAAAAAAGTCGCTTAATACATTAAAGATATAGAGAGAAAATGATCAGGGGAATTTAAAGTGGTAGTTTAAGACAAAAGTTGCTTAATACACGTGGTGGCATTGGCAAGTTAGACTGTACAAAGAAAAATTTTACATATGGAATATTTTCATAATATTAAAGGATTGAGCAAATGTATCCTTATGGCAGAAACTAGTTAACTAAAAATGATCACTCAACTTAAACATTATTTTCTTATCCTGACAGACAAGGGCTTTACTATGTTTTAAAGAAGGATAAAATATATTACCAAAAGAAGCTTGCTGGTCTGTGCCACTTTGCAGGGAATTTTACCCAGTTATTGAGTCATATTTGAAACATGCCTTCTCTAGTTAACTGCATATATTGTTGTAATTTAGGTCAAAGTCTGACCGCCATCAACTAGCGTGGGACCTACTCCATATAATAGCACTGCCTGAAAATGTTGATAAAAGGTTTGTATGTTGTCAAAACAGTAAATAATTAAACAATATATCCATGATGATATGATACAATGTTCGAAATTAGCAGTAGTCCTATAGCCCCTGACTACTAAATTTGTCCTTGGGCTACCAAGTGTTCAAAGTAACAAGCCAGACCAGGCTACTGTATTTTCAGACGCAATATAAACAACTGTTTTGAACCAATGAATTGTGCTAGTGAAATGTCTTTATGGCTAGTGAATATTTCAATCTGGTAGTCCGACCAGCCTAGTGGATTCAAATCCTAATTTCTTACACTGATGATATGATGAAAACTTCCTATAGTGTTGTTGAGTCATTTAAGGGTCAAAATAAAAAGTATAAACCTATATCTAATGAAGTTTTCTTTTTCAAAATTGTGAACTAAATAGCCTTAAAGTACTGAAAATCTTCAAATACCATTGTTTCATTGGCAAATTTATTTGTATTATATAAACAGTGTCTATTCTAGGAGAGGAGGGAGGTATTTACTCATTTTTGAGAATTTCCCACTATTTTTTCAGAGGCAGGGGGAAAAATTTACATACAGAAAGAAGAAAATTGATCAACAAATGTAATAAATTCACACTTTTCAATAAAAATCCCCTGTTTTTCAAATTCTAGAATAGACACTGTATAAAGAAGTATGAAAAGTAATACTCTGTTTTCAAGAGGTGATCATCATGTACTAAAACTGTTATTTTATTTGACAGGAGATATCTACAGAAAGCATGTAGACATTGGTCAAGACAGGGTAAAATCAAGTCTGCACTGATGCAAGCTCTCAAAACTCACATAGGCACATGTAATAATGCTGTAAGTTGTTTTTATTTTTGTTATCTTTGGCAAGACATAGACTACATAACAAATTGTTTATACCAGAAATGTGTAACACATTAAATGGCTTATTCATAAAATACTTGGTGGCTCAGTGGCTAGGTGATTTAGGTTGCTGACTTATAATCACTTTCCCCTAAATGTTTTGGGTTGGAGTCTTAACAGAGACAATGGATTCTTTCATTCGAAGAAGCTATAAGTTAGCTTACAGGATGTCCGTGGTGCCCACAAGATATCTTAAATAAATTTGGTGTATAGCAAGTTTATATGAAAACAGCTCTTGAGATTGCATTTAGGCCAACTATGGTCAGTGTCATTTACTATTAAATGGAATGAGATATTTCAATGAAACTTGATGTAAAGCAAGCTAATGTGAAGAACTTACAAGGGATTACTTTGGGATTCCTTGGGTCAAGTTCAAGGTCACTGTTACTAAAAATAAAAACATGAAAGATACAAATTAATGTTTATCTATTTATTATATATGTAATAAATCAAAAGGCCATAACTCCACCATAAACAATTTAATTGAAAAATGCTCACATGCACCATGGCACTTGTTGACAAAGCTTCTGTGAAAACCTGGTTTTGCCGCATTAGTTTCATCACTATGCCCAGATGCTGCAATTAGGTTGAGGTTAATAAAAGGTTTAGAAAAAAAAAAACATGTGTGCTACAGCAGGATCCCTTCCTACTGCTTTATTTACATAAAAAAATTATTTCTCAGTTGTAATTTTAGATATTTTAAGTAATATCTTCTCTGACATGTATTTGTAACAGGCTGGATGGATGTTGCTAGCCGAGGTAGCTCCAGCAGCTCCTGAGATAACTCATGGTTTTCTTCTAGAGTATTGGCAGAATGAGGGATCACAAGGTTTGTTTTATCAACTTCTTAACACCAAACATTAAAACTTCAGACTAACCTTATAGTAATTTTATAGTATTAAATGATAGTATCTTGTTAGTTCTTTCTTCTAAAAATACACCTAATTATTTTATTTACGCCATCGAAAAATATTTTCAGAGTCACTCATCCTGCAGGGCGAGTAGCTTGTTATTCTAGTGTACAGGCAACATTTTACTACTTGTCCTGCATCAAATTCTCTTAAATTCTACTCCTAATTACTAGTGGACGAGTGAGAAATTTTCAATCTCTAATTAAAGAAAATCCATGTTAAAATTGTCCATTTTTCAATACTTTGGAACTTGTTTACAACATAGTGTCTTAGATTGAACTGTAGTACCACATTTCACATGAAGGAAACACTTGTAATGTATTTACTTTATTTCTAGAGAAATGTTATGAGACTATGAATAGAGTATTGACTGTAATGAAGTATGTTGCCAAACACATGTCTACACAAGAGAGGGATATACTGATTACAGACCTCAATGACAGGCTGATGAAGTTTGAGTCACCACCAGACCTTATCTCAGTCTCTATTAGTACTTTATCAAAGGTTTGCCGTTTGATTAATTCTGAAGTTTCACTTTTGTAACAGAATGAAAGTGAGGCCTTGCTTACAATATACTGTGCTCATCCTTGAGTAAAATATTTTAATCACAGAAATTTATTGAAATCTATGAATTTCTTTCTAAATATGTCTAATATGACTAAAATGATGAATAAACTATGTATGTGGAGCTTCATTGCCTATTACAGGTCAAGTAAAGTTGGTCTTTTCTTATAAAAAAAATTGCCAATTGTTTTAATAACAGTATATATTCATAGTGTGACCACCTAGAGTGTGTAGAATCTTAAACATATCATACCTACTTTGTGTGAAGTCAAAACATGTTTATTTTATGTTTATAAAGAGATGGTAAAGCAATTAACAATATTTTCTAATATCAAATTTGAGCATAGTATATCTTTAAGTTAATGTATAGAGGATATTTGTTTGTTTGTGTGTAATATGAAATTTTATTTCATCGAGTGAGCTTTAAAAACAGTATTCTCACGAGTGGCGTAGCCACGAGTGAGAATACTGTTTTTAAAGTTCACGAGATGAAATAAAATTACATCTTACACAACAAACAGACAAATTTTCTTTTTATTTTATGCTTAAAAACAAGTTAAAACGAAATTTCCATAATTTTAACGTTAATATTAAAATCTGTTTCCCCCATTGAGAGCCCCATTTAGACGGAATTTCTCATTTAAAACAAGAAGTCTTGAGCTAAAAAATAAGTCCGCCAATCAAGGTTAAATGACGGTGATATTTATTCATTTTATTAAAAAAATACAAATGATCGCTTGTTTAATCATAAAAACAAACAATTCTTGCAGGAGAAAATTCCAACCATCCATCCATATTTCTGTTACTTACTGCGAATTTATATTAGACCTGGCTTTCTAAAATGTAAACGGCAGCCATTTTTTAAAGTTGTGTATTTCATGGGAGGAAAATAATTGTGTAAGATTCAGAAGGATATAATTTGGATTTGTTAGTCATACACTTTTTTTAAAAGAAAGAAAACTTATTTGAGGATTGTAACAGACAAAAAATAAGTGTTGACAGAAGTGAAAACATTCAGAAAAGGAGCTAGGAAAATGGAAAAATTGGAAGCTTGCTGAAGGAACGCTGGGTTGTTTTAACTTATTTTACGAGTGATGGCTGTCAATGCTTTTCAATTTTTCATAAAGCATACGGCAGTTATTGCTCGTAGGATACTTTAATATGCCCAAATGTCATCAAGAGCCCGTTTTGCATGGGGAAGGAATGTATTTTTCAGACTGTAAAAACGAAACAAAAAAAAATTTAGAGACAAAATTTGGTGATTGGAATTTGAAGGAATAGAAGTAAGTTCTCTCTCTGTGTTACTTTTGACATTTAAGTTATTAATCTATTTCAGCTTTGCTATTTATTTTAACAGCCTGGCATTGTCAGAATTGTCGGTAAAAATAAAATTGAGGTACCACATGGGGAAAATCTTAAAAAAGTAGTTTCGTCATTGAAAAAAGTGAAATTATATTTTGATAATTTTCACTGTGAAATTATCAAATATAATTTTCACGGATAAATCAGTAATCCACTGAAAAGCATAAAATAAAATGCATTATTCTACTTCAGCTATGTAGTGAGCAAGCGAAGGCGTTGAAAAAGTCGTCATTGGAGACAGAATGGTCGTGGCAACTACTCACAACTTGTGATAAATATCTGTCTAGTGTTGTACTTGAAGGACATGATGGTATATCATTTATATCAACATTCTAAATATTTACTTTATTAAATTGTGGTAATGAAAGAAATATAACTAGTCTAAGCAATTTTCAAGAAAACGAAAGTTTGCGTTTTCTGCAGTATATATTTTTAGCTTGACTATTAAAAGAATAGAAAGAGCTACTGTACTCACCCCCAGTGTGTTGGAATCCTCGTCTTAATGGTTAAGTTTTTGTATGCTAGTTTGTATCACCTTAACTACTGAAGATAATAAGATGAAACTTCACACACATGTTCTCTGTGATTATAAGATAGAATCTTACATAGACTAACTACTAGGGCATTTAAAATTGGAAAAATATGAAAATGATATGAAGAAATATTCTCAGAATTAAATTGAAAATCAATAGTGGGATTCCTAGTACTGATGCTTAGCCTGACTTTAGGTAAAAGCATTTAAACACTTTCATTTTAGGTGATTTTGCACACTAAAAATTGTTATTCTGGAGAAATGGAGTGAGTAAATGATTTGAGCTTTTGCACACAAATTATTTGTATGGACCTACATCAAATGGTGTAAAAAATCTTGAAAATGTATTTCCATTCTGTCAAAAAATTAATGGAGTTTAAATTTGGAGCTTTAAAAAAAACTCAGAAGATAGGTCACTTTAGGCATTTTTGCAATATCACTATACTGCAATATATTGTTAAAAATTTATTATTTCTAGTTGTGATTTACAAGTTACACAATTAAATAATAAGAAGTCAAACTGCTGATTGTTTTCTTACTATTATTGTCATTACAAGATTATAAACAGTACACCCCACCCCATTATGGGGCTTCCTTGGCTGGATTGTTAAAATTCCTTATGTTTTACTGAATGTACAGGTGTTGTGAATGACGAGGACAAGGTTGTGAGTCATCTGTTTACATTAGGTGAGGTGGTGCAGCTGTTTCCAGGGAAGGTACCTAAAAGAGTAAACTTGTTAGTACAGAGTATGATAGCTGCCCCTTGTATAACCTCACCTCCAGCTAGCCAACCACACAACACCATTCATACTGGTAATGATTCTAGAATGTTTATTTCTCTCATAGCTGTGATTATTTATGATTTTTTCAATGTGAAAATAGTTTTTCTTGAACTGTTTGTTGATAATGAAAGTGGTTTTTATGTCCATGATTCTAGAATGTTTGTTTCTTCTTTCAATGTGATTTTTTTAAGTTAAAGTAGTTTTTCATTTTGTAAGGGGTTTCAATGTCAATTTGATTATCCATCATTATTTTGTAACAACAACAACATCTTATATTGTTGTAAATATTACAACAACATTAAAGCTATAAGCATGAAATAATGTGTACATTGGTACAAGTTTTAATGAAGAGATAAAAGGTTAGTTGGTTCAGACTCAATGACTGTCCTGGTAGGTTTTGTAGAATCTGCTGTTTATAGAAATGCTGTTTATAGTTGTATTTAATTCTTATTAATTAAACCACAAGTCAAAGTAATTAACTGTCTCTCTAGACACATTATAAACCTTATTAAGTGATGAATAGAGAATATTGAATGAGTGTAAGTTTAATACTGAATTTATTAAACGAGTTGAATAAAATCATATTAATCGAGCCTCTGGCGAGCATAATATTATTTTATTAAACAAGTTCAATAAATTCAGTAACAAAACAATAATGCAATACCATTTTTACAGAGTCGCAAAAACGGCACGGGTATGTGATAAGTTTTAAAAACACACTGAATGTAATTATCTGTCAAACACCTTAACTTTTATCATTTAGGTTATTGCCGATAAGTTTTAATTGGTGATGTCAGGTTAACAAACATGCTGACTGATTTTAGTTTATAGAAAAAATACATAAAAACTAATATTGTATCCTGTCCATTTCAAGCCTGGTAAAAAAAATTTGCAATGTTGTCTTTCCCTGTGTCTAGATATTGTCAATAGTATGCAGGGTGCAAAAGAAATCAAAGTGCTGCAGCACTGAATGCGACGGACATGCAACCGGGGAGACATTTAGGGTTTTTTTAGAAAAAAAAACACACAAAATATATAACAGAGAAAATTTGTTCCATACAAGGAGCAATATATTTTGTGTCCCAATCTGATATAATCCAGATTTTCTACTTTCAAGCAGAATGAAATATATGCCTAAAACCCTGGTCAAACTTGTAAATCAGTGTCATTATCGATTTATTCCAAGAAATGATATGTAAATGGAAAAAAAACTTTCAACGACATATTTCTAAAATAAAGCCATGCAAATAGACTTCAAGCATAATACATTATACCACGGATAAATCCGTGATTATACATGTGAGAAAGTTATTTAGAATTGCTTCGTGTTTTAACATAGTGGGCATATAGACAATAAAATATAAGTCATTTGTATTTTTATTTCTTTTGGATATGTACGTCTCATTAAAAATATTTTTGGATAAAATCATCAGCAATTAATAGTCACCGTATTTTTTAGATTTTTTTTATTTGCAAGGGCCAGAGCACATCGTTTTTGGGGGCGCAAGCCCCCAATGTAATTACGATAAATTCAGCTTACTACCTTCTGAACGCATTTAGGCAATCTAGCTGCGCTGAGCAAAAATAGTTCCAATATTTTGCCATAATATTCAGATCATCATAATACCTTATCTAATTTAAAATTGACTGGTTATTTTATTACTTAATTTTAAATCCTTTTATCACAAAATTACAAATACCATTGCTTTACGCGATTTGAATATTACTACGCTAGCAGTCGATAAAAAATTAATGAGAACCAGTTTATTTGTTCTACCTTCTGATTCCCGATGCATGAGAGCCAAAGTACTTGCAAAAATTTGGTGCCAATTTTATCAAGTCATAAATTAATTAACTATCATAGAACACAATAATTCAGGAAGATGGAATACGATTTTCAAATTAGATAACTTTCAACAGTTCAAGCTTAAAATGGTTAAAAAGTGTTAATGACAGAGTAAAAATTTGTATGCGTATGAATACGAACTATTTTCCCTCTGACGTCATTTTGCCGAAATCGCCATCTTGGTCAGTTATTCCGAGTAAAGGTTGAGAAGATCTGCTATCAATTAGGAAGTCCCAGCTATTACGTTGATATTTTGGTTGCAATCAATTCCGTATGTATAATCAAGTTTTCTTCACAATCTAGTAAAGCTATTGATATATTTTGCTAGATAGACTGCAAATTTTAGTGCAGTGTCAGCTCGGCCCTAAAACGTACTCGGCCCCGAGTTAGTTCTGGCTTCCATAACTCAATATGACTTAAAATAAGAAATACTTATTTCATACATGTAGATCTGATTTTCACAGTTTTGCCTTCATCAGATGTAGGATTTCATGATATTTATAGTCAGTCCATAATTTTATAGATTTTTTATTTGTAAATTTATAGATATTTATATCTGAAAAAAAGTGGTTGTATTAAAATTCAAAACCACAGGTCGATAATAATAAGATAACTGATTATATAATATCATTAAATATAACAGATTCCAGATAATGTGAATATCGGCATAATATTACGCTTTAAAATCAACTAAAAACGTACAAGGTTAACAATTTGTTGCGTTCATGCACTCTGTAAATTAATTACGCAGAGAATCTGAATTTGAAGTGTTTTTGGTGTGTACTTTCATTTTCGAAACAGCTGAATGACCGCTTCCATTTAACAGTTGAACTGTGTATCTATTTCCAATTAATACCTGTCAAGATACTTTCAACTATTTTTTTCTGTATAAACCAGTCAAATTACGTCTTTATTGTTTAAGTGCTTGATAAAATAATTGTTCTATTTTCTTGATAATTGTAAGGATTTATTAATACACATGTTGTGCATGGTTGCTTCAAGGGCTAATCAAATTGACATTTTTTTCACACAACTCTGTTGCCGGGGAAACTTGATAAACTTACCTCATTACCTTTGTTGATATAAACAATCAATAAAAACAAATTGTCTTTAGCAGCGGAATTTTATATACATCATATTTAGTCATCATTACTTTTATTGTTTAACATCTATATGATTTTTACACTAATAGTATTCATGGAATTGGTAGAGGAATAGGCAGTGGCTAGCAGTATGAACCAGTTTTGGCTGTATGCGAGTCAAATACGACTAGCATATACTCACTGTTGAGGCTAGCTGTACAGCATTTTAAAATGAGTTGCCTAAAACAATAATATGCAAACTTGTTTTTCTAAAAGATTTTATTGAATATCATATACAATTTCAGTCAATGCGAAAGTAAAAAAAAATTCCACCCGCAAGGACTGGGATCCTTAGACTGATGATTTTTCCCCCGCCCGGACTCTGACAGGTTTTTATGCCCCCACAGAGTGGGAGCATATAGCGTTGCACTTGTCCGTCCGAGTGTCAGTCCGTCAGTCCGTCCGTACGTCCCGAAATCTTGTGAACGCAACTCCTCTTAAACCGGATGGCAGATTTTGCTTAAACTTACAGGGATGAACAACCTTAATGTGTAGATGGTAGTAAAGGAAGGAATTTTCGCTGCGACCAAATTTAACAGAATTATGGCCCTTTGTTGATTTTTTCAATAGATACTATGAAGAAATTTTGTGAACGCAACTCCTCTTAAACCGCATGGCAGATTTTGCTCAAACTTACAGGGATGAACAACCTTAATGTGTAGATGGTAGTAAAGGAAGGAATTTTCGCTGCAACCAAATTTAACAGAATTATGGCCCTTTGTTGATTTTTTCACTATATACTATGTAGAAATTTTGTGAACGCAACTCCTCTTAAACCGCATGGCAGATTTTGCTTAAACTTACAGGGATGAACAACCTTAAGGTGAAGATGGTTGTAAAGGAAGGAATTTTCGCTGCGACCAAACTTTACAGAATTATGGCCCTTTGTTGATTTTTTCACTATATACTACATATATAGAAATTTTGTGAATGCAACTCCTCTTAAACCGGATGGCAGATTTTGCTTAAACTTCCAAGGATGAACAACCTTTATGTGTAGATGGCAGTAAAGGAAGGAATTTTTGCTGCAACCAAATTTAACAGAATTATGGCCCTTTGTTGTTTTTTTCATTATATACTATGTAGAAATTTTGTGAACGCAACTCCTCTTAAACCGGATGGCAGATTTTGCTTAAACTTCCAGGGATTAACAACCTTAATGTGTAGATGGTAGTAAAGGTAGGAATTTTTGCTGCGACCAAATTTAACAGAATTATGGCCCTTTGTTGATTTTTAGTTTTCAACTTGTGGCACATGTAGTCCAAAAAATATTTGACCTAGAGTCATAAGATTGACAGAACAGTGGTGTGTGGGGGCATCCGTGTCCTATGGACACATTTCTAGTTTTGTAGGTATGGGGGAGGGATATTGCCATAATTATAAAGAAAAATATTAAGCATATATGAATTATCAGACTCAACTATAAAATACTAGAGAAAAAAATATACAGAAACATATTGATAAAACATTAGCATAATTCACAAGAAAACAATACATGTACATCTTTCAAAGGTTTAATTTTGAAGATTGGAGAAAAAATATGCTTTGGTAAAGAAATTATCCAATACAAGATGGATGGTGGCTTACATTACTTAGCAAAAACTTGCCGTATCCTGCGGTGATTTTGGTTATCTTGGTCTGTGAATACAAGCAAAAATTAAAAAGATAGATCGATCTTGGAAGCCTTGCATATTTCAGAAAGCCAAAAATTGTTTCAAACTGGCTGAAATTTTATTCGGACATGACAACTGACTGTATCGAAATTTATCTCGACCCTACTGATTTTTAGTTGGCGAGGTCCGAGGACCGACAGCCTTTCGCACAGACTGCAATTTACAGTTGGTATAGTAATTTGTAGTGTTTGATGATCAAAAGATTTTTTTTCCTTCTGAAAATCATGGAGTTGAATAATTTAAATCTGTGTGAAAGCGCAAAGAGAAAGAGACTGAAAATTAATTTATTATATTTTTATGGACATTATTATATAGATACATTTGTAATCAAACATGTGGGTCAATTTCCAACAGTAGTTGAATTATGACA